CTTAAAGAACCATCAGGTAGGACCCTTAGACTTCAGGCAGACTCTATCTGCAGTGGATGGATGAGGATAGCTTTGGTTTATCAAGTCCTCAGGGCTGCCTCACCTCTGTGAAGCAGGGAGTAGCTGAGCAGAGACTGCAAATCATACCCTGTAGCAGGATGAAGAAGCTATCAGAAGGTTGTTCGGGAAAAGACCTTCCTCTGGGACAAAAATGGTTTTGTAGCAAAAAATATTTAGATCTCTCTTCCCTTTCATCTTAAGAGGCCTCAGATCATACTCTTAACTGTTCCTGCCCTTACAATAGAAAGATGGTATGATATCTTCCAGACCGCCATTCTTTATAAATTTGGCTGCAAACAATACCCCACTCCCGATAGCTTACTCTAAATTACTCTTTCAGATTATACTATGACATGGCATTGTTGCCCAAGACCTGACAGTACAAAGCACCAGATCTTTGATCAGAGGCCAGCACAGTCCCCATGATCTGACTGAATGCCAGTTCAGGTCATTATACTTTGGCTGATCTTCCCTTCCCTACCGCGTAGATTGGCTCTACTGGCGTTCTTCCCCAGCGCATGCTGCCTGGTAATCCGTGAATTGGCAGGGCTGGTTTCTCTGGCAAGTGATGGTCAGAAAAAGGCATGCATTGAGTTTGGCTAGCACTGACCACAGGGGTAATAAGCTTCCTAAACTATAATCAGCACATGGATTGTTTTCTGTACAGAGCTGAAGTCAACAGGGAAGTACTATGTACCCCTGCATTTGAGGATTAAATGTGCCGTGGAAATTTTTAACTACTTTTTTTTTTAACTCTGAAGTCCGTGATAGAAAAATTTTGATTTTTCTTTCATTTTGCCATAACAGCTGTCCTGGAACTCACTCCGTAGACCAGACTGGCCTCGAAGTAGCAGAGATCTGCCAGCTTCTGCCTCCCAAGTGCTGGGATTAAAAGGATGTGACACCACTGTCTGGCTATTTTTGTTTGTTTGGTTTTAACACTTTTTGGGGGGGGTTTCAACACAGGGTTCCTCTGTAACTTGGAACCTGTCCTGGAACTAGCTCTTGTAGACCAGGCTGGCCTCGAACTCACAAAGATCTGCCTGCCTTCTGATCATTTGTTTGTACTGCAGCTGTGCACAACCATGCCTGGCTATGCTGTGCTGAGGAGGACTTCATCCAGGCCAGGCTCTACCAACTGAGCTACAGACTTATCCCTCTTCACTGAAATCTTATAAATCTATTTTGTGTCTATGTGTTCTTAATTTACATAAATTGTTCCCTATTTCTCTCTCTCCCTTTTCTCCCCTCTCTCCCCCTCCTCTATCTCTTCTCTCTCTACCCCCTCTCTCTCTCCTCTCTCTCCTCTCTTCTTCTTCTTCTTCTTCTTCTTCTTCTTCTTCTTCTTCTTCTTCTTCTTCTTCTTCTTCTTCTTCTTCTTCCTCTCTCTCTCTCTCTCTCTCTCTCTCTCTCTCTCTCTCTCTTTGGTTTTTCAAGACAGGGTTTCTCTGTAGCTTTGGAGCCTGTCTTGGAACTAGCACTTGTAGACCAGGTTGACTTCGAACTTGCAGAGATTCACCTGTCTCTGCCTCCCGAGTGCTGGGATTAAAGGCTTGCGCCACCTCTGTCCAGCCTTCTTTGTCTTTTTTTTTTTGTATGTCTGTCTCTCTCTCTCTCTCTCTCTCTCTGGTCTTAATCTAAGGCTTTATAAATTCCAGGCAAGAAAAGCACTTTGCCATTGAGTCACCTATCCTCCTTTCTCTCTCTCTCTTTTTTTTTCCTCCTACTCTACTTTTTTGGAGATAGCGTCTTGGCACCACATCTGGCTCTTTTCATATGAAGCTAAAAACTATGCTTTAATATCATTCAGGTTATCAAATATATATTATTTAACACTTGAACTATCAGCATATCATTTCATGGCATACTATTTTAACATATTGTTTGTCCATTTCTCTTATTATGGACACTAGGGTAGCTCTTTATATATGTATGTGTGTGTGAATATATAGACTTCTGTGTGTATTATTATTGTATGTACAAATGTCTTCAATATGCCATATATATGTGTGTGTGTGTCTGTGTGCGCGTGTGTGTGTGACTGATGAGTCTGAGTGCTCGCTAGGTTCTGACAGACAGCTTGCCAAGTAGTTGTCCTTATTTACATTGTACCAGCAATATATTTCATATTTCTTATATTATAAGTCTTAGTTGATTCGATTTACTGACTTTAAAATATATTTGTATAGTTGGACAATCAATTAACTTACAAAGCAAAAGGTAGGGAAGAGTCAGATGAGCAGTCCTCTCCAGAGTCGCTCTTCCCTTTCCCTGTCCTGTGTGCCTTGGTCCCTTCAGATTACTCCATACTCCGCTGGAGGGAAGCTTTATCTAAACCTGCTCCCTGAACTACTTCCTTCTTTCATCTCTTTTAAGTGACATGTTTTTCTAGAAAGAGAGATCAGGAAAATGGAAGGTGTGAGTAGGGTCAGCCTCATACTTTCAGGACGTCAGTACTTTGTGTTCGGGTGGAGGCTCCACCCCAAGCTCCTCTCCTGGAGCGGCCTCAGTCCAGACTCTGTCCCCTGAGAAAGCCAGTCAAACAATGACCCCTCCCCAGAGATGCTCAAGACCACTCCCATAGAGTATTTAAGCCATCCCCCAGAGAACAGACTCATGGTTTTCTGGTCTTCCTTTCCCATCTTCTCTCTGGGAAGCTGGAAAGCCATCTGGGAGCATTTGTATCCATTAAACCTGGGCTTTTTCTAATTTGGTTTGATTTGGTCTGATTTGGATTATTGCGTCAGTGGAGAGGCTTATAGAGGTCCAGAAACCTTTCACTTTGGTTCACAGCGTTTATGTGATTCATAATCTCTCAGTTTCTGGAGGCGAATTAAATCCCTGGACTAGGCTCACCTATTAACTCAAGCCAGTCTTCCACAGGGTTACAGAAGATGTCCCTAGAAGAAATGCACGTGGAGTATTGCAATTGCAAAGTATCTCTCAGTCACATACATTCCCTCTCTCACAATTTATGTGCCTTTGTTAACTCAGAGTTTGAGGAGCTAACCAGATCCCAGGAGGACCTTTGGAGCTCTCTGCTGAGCTTTGCCTGTTCCGTGTAGGGGTTGTCATTATTAATCTTTCAGCAACCACCTGCTCAGTTGCTGAACAACAGTCAACCCTCCATCTCTTTCCCATCTACTAAAATTAATTCAGAGAAATAGCCATTCCCACCTGAAAAGTTTAAGTCCCCCGGAAGTAACACAGCTGCCAGTAATAAATTAGATCAAGTCAAATTAGTAAATCCAGGTTTAATCTGAGCATAGGAAAGCAACTCCTGGGGACCTTTGGGAAGGCAGGGGAAATGACACATGGTACACATGGTAAATATGGCTAGCAGGTCTTATTTAGCCTGTCGGTGTGGTCTTGACCAGCTCCTAGGAGGAGCTGACTTTTGGCAGACTTTCTCAGGGATGGGGTTTAGGATGGGCAGGAGTGAGACCAAAGCATGGGATGGGGCCCCTAGCTAGAGATCCCTAACACCACCCCTGTTACACAGTATTATTTTGACATCTTGAATTTTCACATAAAAATCTTATGTTGTATCAGAAATCAATTTTTGTGTGTGTGTGGTTTTTATTGAGACAGGGTTTCTCGGTGAAACAGCTTTGGCTGTCCTGGAGCTCACAGAGATCTGCCTGCCTTTGCCTCCCGAGTGCTGGGGTTAAAGGTGCTCACCACTATGTCTGACCTCAAAATTCATTTTTCAAATATTAGCTTATTTTCTGTGAAGGGGTGTTCTGCTTGGAGGACTGTCTGTGCCCCATGTGTGCCTGGTGCCTCTGGAGGCCAGAAGAAAGCATTGGATTTCTTGGACCTAGACTCACAGATGGTTGTGAACCTTCGTGTGGGTGCTGGGAACTGAACCCAGGTCATCTGGAAAAGCAGTCAATATTTTTAATTGTTGAACCATGTCTCTAGCCCCAAAGTTAAATTTTTAAAGTTAAATCTCATGTAGCCCATGCTGGCCTTAAACTTGCTCTACGGCCAAGGATGACTTTGAATTCCTGAGTTTCTTTCCTCCATTCCCCTCAAAGTGCTGGAATTACAGGTGTGTGCACCACACCCGATCACCTCTTGGTTATAATCAGAACATTGACATACTTTAGGGGGGCAGAGTCAAACTACAAAACTGCATTTCCCAGTATGTCTGGTTGTTGGCAATTGACATGACAGTTATTGCCATAAAAGCGAAAGACAGCGGCATCTATGCAAGACTTTTGAGAATGTTCTTTAAGGACAGATGAATAATGCTTTTGTCCTCTCTACTTCTTCCTTCCTAGAATGTGAGCACGGTATCCAAGAGTGGAGGTGAAACGGATACTATTTTAGTATCATGAAGATGTAGAGACGGCTTACTCCATGGATGACTGAACAGAAACATAAAACAGAATCTAGAGTGCACATGGAATGACCTTTGCTACCTTGGACTGACTTCTTCTAGAAGATTTGTAATGCGTGGGTGGAGCTATAAATTAGTTCAAACACTCTTTCTTTTCTTTCTTTTCTTTTTTCTTTTTTCCTATGTAGTCCTGGCTTTAGCGGAACTCACTCTATTGACCAGCCTGGCCTCGAACTCAGAGATCTGAGTCTGTCTCTGGAATGCTGGGATTAAAGGCCACAACCACCTGGCAGTACAAACACTCTTTTTGCATGTTGTCTATTGTCCATATGCAAATTTAAATTTTGTGTGGTGATAGATTTACTGCACTTTGTTAGCAATCATGCCTGGTTCAGAAGCAACCTAATGAAAAAATCAGTTACCTCCACTTTGTGAGAGCCAGTTTCCAAGATCAGAGCTTTCAGGTGGAACTCGGAGCCTCGCCTCAGGCCCCCTGCCTGTCTTCCACCTGGTGAATTTAGTTGCTGTAAACAGCCCTTCCCTTGTCTCTTTAGATGATCTTTCACGATAAAGCCAGAAGGTGCCACACACTTACTTTTCTGGTCTCCTGTGCAGCAAAGGATTGAACGCGAGATCTGAAAGGCAACGGAAAGACAAGGAAAAAAATCAAGTGCTGAGTCATCTTTGGTCTGGGAGGCAGAAGATGACGGCAGAACTGAGCCGGGCAGTTCCTAGCCTTGGCATACTTCTGAGTCACGTCACCAGTCTGGATTCTAGTAGCCTTTGAACATGTAGTAATGTTTATGACACGTCTTTTAAAGTTAATTAATTTTTAAATATTTACATTTTTTACATGAAGACATTAGAAAAAAATCCTTTCTTCTGTGTTTATGAAATTCTGTTACTAGCACATGGGTGTCAGAAGAAGGCTGGTATCTCACTTCAGCATTCCTAAGTCAGCCTCTGTCTGTCTGTCTCTCTCTCTCTCTCTCTCTCTTCTCTCTTCCAAACTCTTAGTTCCTTACCCAAGGAGAACTCTGGGCAGCCTGCTTGGCCAGTCATTCATCCAAACATGCTCAGACGGGTCTGAGGCTGTGAGCAGGAGAGCTCAGACTTTGTACCGAGCCGTCTGTTCTACCCCGCCTCAGGCCTGTCTCCTCTAGTGTTTCAAATGTCAATACAATCTCCAAGTGTGGTGTGCTGCCATTTTTATTATGTGCAATAGTTTTTATGATCAGTGAGGAGCACTAGTGAGAAAAAAATTTCTTTGTTTAAAAAAGAAAATTTAACGTTGGGCTGGGAGTATACCTCCTGGGAGAATACTTGTGTAACATGCGCAAGCCTCTGGAATTAATCCTCAGAATAGAAAAAAGGGAGTGAGGGCTTAGTTCTATGTTTTGAAAAATCCACAAATTTGACTTAAAATGCATGAAGTAAAATATGGATCTAAACTTTCATCGGCCGTTAAAGTACTTGACAATAGTTTAGGAGTTTATTTAGTAACCTTTAAAGGAGAAACCAAAGGAGATATTGACTTGTTTTAAATAAACATTCTATTTAAATTTATACCCTTGTGTATTCCAGGTGAGATACAATCAGATCTTTGGCCCTGCAGGACTTGCATCCACATTCAGCCAACTGCAGGCTGAAAACACTTGGAAAGAAAGAAATTATACTGAATGCCTACAAGCCGTTTTCCTTAAGCAGAACAGAATAACAGTTTTTGCATAGCATTGATCTTGTACTAGGTATTATAAGTAATCTAGAAATGACTTAGCACACTGAGGAGGAGGTGTTCAGGTTATACGAACTTGAATGCCCACGGACTGGGGGATGAGCAGGTCTCAAGTCAATCTCCCACACACTCTGAGAGATGATTATATTTGTTTCTAGTTAATTTTATATTCGTTTGTATGGTAGATCAAGAGGGGACTGCAGGGCAAATAAGACTAAATACTGAATATTACAACTCAAACCTTCCAGGTGCGTGCATGTTTTGATTATTTTCTGACCTCATTCTCCCCACGGCAGATATACTGGTCAATCCAAAGTAGCTGAAAGTCTATCTGGCTTGCGCGAAACCTTTGCAGGAAGAGGGAAATTTTTCAGTTCAATTCTGCTGGTCTCAGACTCAAAGGTAAAGCCTAAAGACAGACTCGGGTATTTTCTCTCTCGCAGACAGTTGGGCAAGATAAAGACACACGATTGGGGTTTGTTTTTGTTGTTGTGTCCTGAAAAAGTTACAAAATGCCCCAGAGGAAATCTCTGTCTTGTTATGATGAAGAAAAATAAACCTACACACTGGAGTGTTGCAACCACACCTTGTTACCAAGGATGTGAAACTTCCCTAATGAAGTGGCATCCAAGGGAAAAGACTACTAAAACAGATTATTTTCGTATTTGTATTTTTAAAGCAGAATTTAGTTAATCTAGTAAGGAAATTTAGCTAGGCGAGGATTCATGGTCAGTTAGAAACAAGCCCCGCTCTGAGTAAGAACTCTTTGTACAACTTTTGCTAGAGACCTTTGACCCTGTTTGGACCTTGCTTTGTCTTTTGTCTTTGTGGCACTAGACTGAACCCAAGGCACCCTGCCTGCTCGATGAGGGCTCCATCCCTAGGCTACCTTCTCTGCCTATATTTGGATTCTATACTGTTAGCAAGAACTCTAGAGGTAGGATGGAGAAGGTACTGTTAATCCCGCCAGTCGAGAATAAGACGACTACCTGATTTTAAAGCCAAATTTGAAGCAAGCATTAATTCAATTAAATTAAATACTGGCCAGGTGGATGGGCTCTGGCCAGGTCCACTCGAATTTTTAGAAAATGGCTGAGTCATGGTTTGCAGGGGCTTTAAAAAGGCAAAACCTACAATCCATCACATGTCCCATCAGGTCCAGTCTGTCTCCCTGCCTGCAATTTGTGGATCAGATGTGAGGTCTCAGCTGCTGTTCCAACACCAAGCCTGCCTGCCTGCCTCGTACTCACCGAAATGGTCGTGGACTCACACTTTGGACCTGTAAGCAAGCCTCTAGCTAAATGTTTTCTTTTTTGCAGTCTGAGAGTTAGACTGGGCCTGATAGAAGCTTTTGAAAACTCAAAGTCCGTCCCCAGTGACACAATCTCCTTCAACAAGGCCACGCCTCCTGATCCTTTAAAAAAAAAGTTATACAACCTAACAGACCAAACATTCAAACATGTGAACTTATGGGGGCCATTCTCATCTAAACCATCAATCACACTTACCCAAACAGGTTAGATATTTCCCAAAATAAAAGTGTCACTTAAGAGAAGCAAAGTCATTAGTAACACCTTGGTGATGGTAAGCAATGTCCTTCTCTTGCCACTGCCTGCTTAGGGTTTAGACGAGTAGTGAGGGTGAAAAAGAACTGGGCTAAGAGACTAAACTTGCTAGGTTTTTGTGAGGATTAGATTAGAATATTAGAAATGGTGGGACTGAGAGCAGGGGAAGGGAAAGGTAGAGGGGAGAGAGAGAGAGACAGAGAGAGAGACAGACAGATTTCTTGGGCAAGCACACATTGCCCAAGTCATGGAGCTCCTAGGGAGGCAAGGCATGCCTCCTCTTGCTGGTTATAGACCTTGTTTAGATAGGTAAAGCAATTACCTTTTTTCCTGTTTCTGTTTTATTTCATTTTGTGTTATCAAAACCATTTAGCTACCCTCAAGTTTGTTTTTTTTTTTCTAATAAGCTTTAGAATTTTGGGGAAGATTATTTAAATCCTAGAAATAACACAAAGGTGGATAATACTTCTTCTCCATGTCATATGGGAACAAAGGTCACCTTAGGTCAGTGAGGACACATATTGCTGCTTCCTGTTGGATAAGGATGCAGACACTGTCGTTACTTGCTGTATTGGCTACTTTTCTTGTTGCTACGAGAAAATAACTGACCAGAGCTAACTTAAAGAAGGATCGGTTTCTTTAAGGTCACAGTTGGAGAGCACATTTTGTCTTGGCTGGGAAGGTGTGGCAGTTAAGAGCCGCTGTGGTCCTGGAAGAATGAGGCAACAGGTCACATTGTGTCCTTAGTCAGGGACAGCGATGGGAACGCTGTTGTTCAGCCAGCTTTTTCTTCTCCATCAATCTGCAACGCAGCCATGGATAGTGTGGCCCACATTCCAGGTGGCTCTTCCCACTCAATTAAACACCTCTGGAAAAACCTTCAACTGTGGCTGGAATGTGGAATGTCCCCCGCAGGCTCATATCTATGAACCCTTGGCCATCAACGGATGGGGATGGTACTGTTTCCAAAGGTTGTGGACCTTTTAGGAGGTGGAGCCTCACTGAAGGAAGTGGGCCATTGGGAGCGGGCCTTGAGACCTTTACAGCTTGGTCCCACTTCCTGTTCATGCTCTGCTTCCTGACTGTGGATACAATGTGACCAGCCAGCACCTGCTTCTCCCACTGTCCCTTTCCTACCCGCTACCATATTGACTTTGCTGTGGACGCTAGCCCTCCAGGACTCTAAGCCAAAATAAATTCTTTCTTCTTTAAGCTGCTTCGGACTATTTCGTCACAGCAGTGAGAAAGTTGACAAGGCAGCAACACATTCAGAGATTTCTCTTCAATTTGATTCTCAATCGTACCAAGTTGACAAACAAGATTAACTGTCACACTTATTAAGTTGTAGATTATTTTTTTGGTCTGGTAAAGGTGCAAGTATTTTTTTTTTTGTCCCATAAAACTGATCATCTCAGATTTATAATGTGTTGGATATTATCCAATTTTAACAAAAGCAGACTTGGTAACCTCAACATTTCTTTGTATGAGATAGTTTGTAGCAATGATTCCTTTCAAATTCTCTCCACCTCTGTCATGCTGTCACACTGATTTCCTCATTAGTTAATGACAGAAATATTTGACATGAGCTTATTCAGTATCTGCCTGATATATGCTATTATATTACTGAAAATTACCCTTTTACGCACCATATTCATTACCACCAAAAAACATTAGTGGAATTTTTTTTTTTTTAGAAATTTGTGATATTTATATAGTTGTTCAGAGAATTCTTCTGGAATACTCGCTAGATTTAGATTCTGTGTTTTTTTTCCTTAGAGGTTTAGGATTCCCTTCATCAAAATTCTATACATTTTCTGTCCATTATTCTTTGGTAGTTTGTGTTTTAGCTATTGATAATGAGAATTGTTTTAATTTTTATTTTCCAAATATTTATTTTTTAGAATATGAGAAAGATTAATATTTATTGATTCTCTTCTTATGTGCATGAGTGTTTTCCCTGTATGTATGTCAGTACGCCACATGTGCCTGGTACCTGAAGAGATAAGAAAAGGGGGTTGGACTGGCATACATCGTTAGTCCTGGCACCTGGGCAATAGGGGCAGACATATATCTGAGCTGAGAGCAGCCTGCTCTACAGAGAGAGTTCCAGGACAGCCAAGGCTACACAAAGAGGCCCTGTCTTGATAAACAAAAACAAAACAAAAATGAAAACAAAAACGAAGAGGAGGCTAAAGTTGTGGATGGTTGTGAGACATCACGTGGGTGCTGGGAACTGAGCCCAGGTCCCCTTGCAAGAACAACAAGTGCTTCTAACCACGGAGCCACCTCTCCAGCTCTGATATTTACTTTTTATTTTGTATTTCTCTTGTAACTGATCAAATTAGTGAATTCTCATACCATTTTTAAATTTTTACTTAATGTGTACGGAAGTATTTCCATGCAGGAATATGCATGCTTGTTGGAACCCCTAGAAATGGAGTTACTGATGGTTGTGAGGTACTGTGTGGAGATGGGGACTTGAAACAAAGACCTCAGCAAGAGTGACAGGTGCTCTTAAACTGCTGAGCTCTCATACTTTTTCTTATGGTTAATTTTTCCCTCAGATTTATAATGTTATTATAATTAGGTGAATAATAACCTTGCTGCCCATTTGCCAAAATGAATAATTCTCATCTTCATAAAGCACTCTCAGAATAGTGTTGAATGCTAGAGCAAGCACCTTTGCTTTGCATAATATCACCACACTTAATGTGAAAGAAGAGCTGGGAGTGTACATCTCAAGGGGAGAGCCTTGGCCAGCTCAACACTTTCCGAAGGGGGCCCAGGAAAGCATATTTTAATAAATTAGACACATAG